GTGTGAGTGAGAAAGTGAATGGTTGTTTGTCTCTATGTGTCCCTGTGATGGACTGGAGACCTGTCCAAGGTGTCCCATGCCTCTCGCACAGTAACTGCTGGATATGGGCACCAGTGAGCCCCGTGACCCAAAAAGGAAGAAGCGGGTAAAGATAATGGAAGGATGGATGTTCAAAATGTTCAAAATCTTTCTGGCATTTATTTGAACCCAGTAAAGAGGAATCCAAGACAACTGAAGACTCTAGCATGACTGAGATGAAACAAATACATTTCCATGTTCTTGACTCGTTATTCTGAAAAAAGTTTTAGACAAAAAAAGAAAGAAACAAACAAACAAACAAAAAAAAAATCCCTGAAATCATTGACGCCTCCTGGCTGCATTGCAACATCCAGTTTTGAACTGCGCAATTCTGGGAAAAACCTTCACTTTTTTTTTCTCCAAAAATGCAGAAAAAAGTTTTCCTCATTTCACTGCAGTAAACATCAGAGTTGCACAATAATCTCAAATTCATCATCATCGCTTTCAGTGAGCTCAATATCAGCACCTCTAAGAACTTCTTGGACTGTGATTAAGCAAAGGTCATTATATTTTAAATACAACGTGTTCATGTTCTACATACCATCCATCCATCCATCCATCCATCCATCCATCCATCCATCCATTTTCTTCCACTTATCCGGGGTCAGATTGCAGGGGGTAGCAGCCTAAGTAGGGAGTCCCATAGACTTCCCTCTCCCCAGCCACTTGGGTCACCTCCTCCGAGGGAATCCCAAGGTGTTCCCAGGCCAGCCGAGAAACACAGTCCCTCCAGCGTGTCCTGGATCTTCCTCTGGGCCTCCTCCCAGTGGGACGTGTCTGGAACACAACACCAGGGAGGCGTCCAGGAGGCATCCTAACCAGATGCCAGAGCCACCTCAAATGGCTCCTCTTGACGTGGAGAAGCAGCGGCTCTACTCTGAGTCCCTCCCAGATGCCTGAGCTTCTCACTATATCTCTAAGGGAGAGGCCAGGCACCCTGCGGAGAAAATTCATTTCGGCCGCTTGTATCCGTGATCTCATTCTTTCGGTCACAACACAAAGCTCATGACCATAGATGAGGATAGGAACGTAGAACGACAGGTAAATCGAGAGTTTCGCCTTTTGACTCTTGACTTGATTCTACATAGAAATAGACAGCGGTATGAGAGAACAGTAGTAAGAATTGTCGCCTCTCAGCAGTAAGGTCGTAGGATAGCCTCCTGGCTGATCTGTGCAGAGTTTGCACATTCACCTTGTGCACTCCTGGGTTTTCTCCAGGTACTCCAGTTTCCTCCCACAGAGCAAAATCATGCATGTTAGATTAACTGGTAACTAAACTGTCCCTATGTGTGAGTGAGAGTACGAATGGTTGTTTGTCTTGTTTGTCTCCATGTGTCCCTGTGATGGACTGGACCTGTCCAGGGGTGTCCCCAACTTCTTGCACAGTGTCTGCTGGAGATAGACACCAGCTCTTTGTGACCCAAAAAGGAGAAGTGATTAAAAGAAAACAGATGGATGGATGGATATATTTGGCTAATCCAATAAACCTTGTAGATAGATAACGACAGAAGAAAAAGTGAGGGGTAAAATGTGGGTTCATCACAATGGATATCACCATCAGAAAATTAAACAATAACATTACACTTAGCAAGTTTTTCTATTATCAGGTAGTCCTCGTAAACATAAAATCTCTATGACGGAAAAAAACTAAGCTGCAAACAAAGTACTGTCTCCAAACAGCTAAATGAGTAAGACTCAGTTTGTATGGTGGACACTGTAGAAGCAAAGGTGATGAAATCCTATGAAGCTCTGGTTGGCTGACCGTCAGGTGAAAATCTGTCCACAGACTCTGACTCATCTCGGCATCAGCGAGCTCACAGTGTTTTCACAGACTAACAGCCTGTTTTTAGACACAGCAGCATCAGTGACTTTAAAAATAGGATTGTGTCTCAATGCTGATCTGCACAAGTGTCAGAGTGACTGTGCAGAAAGAAGCAGATGCCTGACCTTGGTCTGATTGTCTACGGGTTAATACGGTTTATACGGCCATCTTGGCATTCAAGCCTGACGGGCTGACTGATCTCAAATTTGCTAAAGTGCAGCGGCGGAGAAAGTCAGTCAGCTCGTTTGCACAGTCAGAGGGGCTATAAACCAGAGGAGGAGCAACCTCTCTGCCTAATCCACTTTAGAGTTTCATTACTGAGATTGCAGTGATCTGTCAGGAGGCAGAGTACATGATAACACTAACATCAAACCGAAAGATGCAAGGAAGGCCAAGGAGCTGACAGATTTTAGATAATTGTTGATGTGACATGAGGCAGACTGCAGGACTGAATCTCACAAGAAGCAAATGTGTCGGACTTAATTTTTTTATGTGCAAATAATGAGGCAGCTTTAAACTTTGACCTTTTTTCTAACCATCAGTGAATCATTGATTTATTTAACTGTCTGGCTTTTAGAGGGGCGATTTATTCTCTCAGCTAAACACTAAACGTTTTGTAACGATCATAGATCGCTTCATTGAAATATGTTATAAAACGTAAACATCAATTTCACAGTGCCAATAATATGTCTTCAATAAAAGCATAAACTGCACGTTAAGTGCTCATTATTACATACAGCACAAACAGAGGCTGGGAAAACATTTTACTGCTTTAAATTTAAAATTTGGTTTGGGAACACTTCTGTTTATATTTTTATCACTCAAATTAGATATGGGGCGTTTCCATAAAACATTCACATCGTTCCTCACCCAGCTCAAATTATTTTCAGACATTCTGATATCAAGACTTACAACCATATCTAAAGAAGGTCACACAAACAAAGTTAAGATGACCAAATATTGATGCTTATTGTTGCCAGTGGAAACCAAGGTGGTCCGGGTTGGGAGGAGTCTTTTCCTCGAGTGGAGGAGTTCAAGCATCAAGTGTTCATAAGTGATGGTAGAATAGTGCAGGAAATGGAGCGGCGGATCAGGTTCTCCTGCTCAATAATGAGGCTGTTGCTTCAGTTGGTTGTGGTGAAGAAAAAATCGAGTCAAATGCAAAGCTCTCTATTTACAGGTCAGGTTACATTCCAACCCTCACTTATGGTCATGAGGTTTGGATCCTGACTGAAAGAACAACTTCCTGGTGACAAGAGGCTAAAATGAACTTCCTTCAAAAGAAGGCTGAGCTCAGCCTTGGAGACGGGAGAGGAGTTCTGTTCTTGGGAAGCTTATAATAGAGCTGCTGCTCCTCTGCGTCGAATGGTTGAGGGAGCTTGAACATCTGATTAGGCTCCTTACAGGATGCCTCCATTACGAGGTTTTCCGGGCAGATCCACTAGAAAGAGGCCATTTTTATTTGCATGTAATTTGTACAGATGAGTTTTGATGCATATCTTTTTTGGTGTCATTTTTATGGGAAATATTTTTGTTCTTAACACTAAACGATCACATTGTTAAAAGTTGGAAGCTGTTGGTGGCGTGCCCTTTTGCTGCGTGACAGTTTCAGAGGGCAGGAGCTACATACGAAACCACCAACAACCACACTTGTGTTTTTCTGTAACAGTGATGTGCAGAAAGAAATAAAGATCTTGAGGCTGAGTTCCTGAGTGACGTCCATCATTTCGCTGGAGTCGACCCAAAGTAGAGGGGGTTACGTATGACCCATAACCCACAGGAGGGATTAGGTATGTATTATAGATCCTCTCTGCCCTGGGAACACATGAGGACCCCCCAGGAGGAGCTGGAGATAGTTGCTTGGGAGAGGGATGTCTATGTTTCTCTCCTGGACTTGTTGGTTCTGCAACCCAACCACAGATAAATGGTGGAAGATGGAGAGTCAGAGGAAGTGGTACACGCCATGACATTGTGTATCTTTTCTTTCAAAACAGACAGGCTGATATGTTGCAGAGAAAATACAATCATTTGCAGAACAGTTCAACGTCAACATTAATTAGCTCCTTTCACATGGGTACATTAAATCAGTCTTTTTTTTATTGCTAGTTCCTGTTCAGTGTCTGTCTCCAGTGCTCAATGGGCTACAGGCGGGCACACCTTGAACTGGTCTCCAGTCCATCACAGGGCCACATAGAGACAAACGACTATTCACTCTCACTCACACCCAGAGCAAATTCATGCATGCACGGAGAACATACAAACTCTGTGCAGAAAGGCCCCAGCCAGGAGTCAAACCTTCTTTCTGTGAGACAACAATACTAATCAACTGTTCCACACTTTCAAACAGATTTAAATGAACAATGACCAGGACAGATTAAATATTTTGTAAGAAAATAATTTCAAAAGTTTTACTCTGTTTATGGTTTGCTTCATGTTTCTTTACTTCAAACTTTTAAACCCTAAAAGTATTCCATAGTTGGCTACAAGCTACAAATGCACACACGGCCTCCACAAATGCCTTCCAGTCATCTTAGCAGCAACAAGTTTACCTGCAGCCTCCTGGAAACAGAAATAAAATACTATCTAACAAAAACGGCAAAGATCTGTGCTGCTGCTGACAGAAAACCAAGACTTCAAGACAAATGTTATATTTCCCCACACTGACATCTAATATTGAACCTTTTCTTCAAGCTTTGAATGACTGCGATTCAATCTCCAATCCAAAGATAGACGCAACTTTCTTCTTACGTTATCTTGTCTTCCTAATAATGCAGCGCCGCTTATCAGTGGGAGGACAGTGTTTTTGTTTATGTGCAGCAGAGACTACATTTACTATGCAAATGATCCTCTCCTCTGTCACAACAACAGCTCGGACTTTCACTGGTGGTCTGTAAAATAACCCGACAGAGCAGCTGTAGGTATGAGGATCACTTTCAGGCCTGACACTGATCCTGCGAGCGTCCACACAGTAACAAGACTCAGGTGTGTGCGTAAGTCGGAGCGTCTCCGTGAGCTCCAGGATGTAACTCAAGTTTTATCAGCAAACAAAGAGCCATCGGTGGGGTCGCTGAGAGACGAGTCCGCTCACAGGTCCTCTTACCATGATGAGGCCGGTGGTGATGGGGTCGTTGCAGCCGTGGCACAGCTCCCCGAACTTGGCCCAGTAATCATTCTTGCAGTAAAGCCGCCCATCCTTCTCATAATACCAGTGAGACAGAGAGGCCCCGCACTCATAACACCTGAGAGATAGAATAAAAACAATCATTATTATAATAAACTACTGAAGAAGTCATTTGGATGAAAGAAGAAACGTTTCTACATTTTTTTTGTTTTTGGAACGTCCAGAGGACCTGACTTAACGTTTCTAGATAAATTATTATAGTAATTTTTCATGAAGATAAAAACATGTTAAAGATCCAGAGATGTTTTTCCTGGACTGGAATTGAACAGGGAATGCAATAAAACCTAAATGTTTTTGGAACAAGATAGTCCAGTGGGTAGGAGTTACACTGGTTATAGGAACAGAAGTAGTTTTTTTTTTTTTATTGTCCGAGACAGCGCAGTGTTGGATCCTGGTGAGCAGAGAGAGCAATTTTATCCACCACCAGGTGCAATGGCTGAGCCAAGGGGTGGCCAGTGGTGGTCTTGGCCCCCATAGAATAATCTTTGGCCACTCCAATCATTTGAGAAAACTATACTTTTAAGTTATATAAAAACTGACAAGAATTTTAGAAAGGATTTTACACACACATATGCACACACACACACACGTGTGTGTGTGTGTGTGTGCGAGCGTGCGCGTTTTTGTTTCAGGTTACCTTGTAGGGACCAATTTTACAAAAAATCATGCACTGTGGGAACCAAAGCCAGGTCCCCATAAAGAGAAGGATCGTTGGGGGGGTTAGGTTTAGGACTAAGGTGTGAATTGCGTATGGGTCAAGCCCCCAGTATACTCCTGCGTACGTCCGTATGCGGAGGTAATGGTGAGAAATGAAAGAATTTGTCATGAGCAAATTAAACTCAGGTCCAGCGTGGCTGCGGGAGGCTTTTATTTTCACTTGTTTAAGGGGCCGAGATGGTGTAGAGGCAGGACAGCCGGCTTGGGACCCGAGAGTCCCAGGTTCGATCCCCAGTCACTGCACATCACGTGGCGTCTCTGGGCAGCACGTCTAATCCCCAAAATGTCCCCCGGGCGCTTTCAATAGCTGCCCACTGCACCACCTGGTGGTGGATGGGTTAAATGCAGAGACTAATTTCGCCATTGTATGGAAACATACAGTGCTGACATTGTGATGACATTATTATTATTATTAAAAAAAAGTGTGCATTCTTTATGATTGTCTATTGTTGTTTTTGTTATTCACTATTGTCATCACTCTTTGTTAAAATCAGGTCTCTCTTGTAAATGAGTCCCTGAGGTGCAGCGGGATTAACCTGTATAAATAAAGGTTGAATAAAAATTTCCCATTTCCCCTTTTTGCCCGTGATGGGGGACAAAAACAGAGATGCAGAGATTGTTTCAAAATGTGTGGTTTGACCAGTGACTGGTAATAACGATGTACTATTATTTCCAGTCTTTGAACACACCAAAGCTAAGTGACTGTTTGTACAAACAGCTGTCTTTGGTTTGGGAACTTTTACTAAGTGAAAATAAATAAATAAATAAATAAATACATAAAAAATAAAGCGTATAGACTCTTGAAGAAACGCATATCACTTTCATGCCAGAGATTTCAACTAAAATAATCTCGTACTGAGATAAGTTGTAGCTCGCATTTGGAGTCGATATTGTGGCTGATTTTCAGCTGTTACTAAAAAAACATTTTAATTCACTATCTGTATATAAACACTTCTGGTTGGTAAGACCGATTATCTGTGGCAGCCATCTTAAATCTAGTCGACTCCAAAAGTTATTCAGTTATAGAAGAAGATCTAATGATTACTTTCTCAGAGTTTCGTTAAAATCTGTGTGGTACTTCATGAGATATTTTGCTAACAGACAGTGTTGACTTCAACGGGTAATCCCAAACTTTTAAGGAAAGCTCAAAGACGGTGTTAGTGCTCAGAGTAAGCGTGATGAATAACTCTCAGCTACTGCTACACCTCTGTACACATTTTAGGGACCAGAACATGAATTTTTCTCTCTCGCAACAGTTCAGACGTCCAAGATCTTAAGAAGTAAACATGAAATTAGGTTATTATTATGTTGGCAGAAGATAATATTGTGCCTCACTGCTGTAGACTGTAATTCAGCACTCATAATGACACCCTGCAGAGCCACAAATTACAGTTTTCATGGTGGTTTCTCATCCTCAATTTTCAAGTCTTATTGATCCAACAGATAAAAGTGATAGCACCAAAAATAACAGCTACAACTGCACAGCACGGAAACACAGAGAAACGTAAAAAAAAAATCTGTAGTCAAACACGACTGGCATCACCATCACCGTCTGAAACTAATTTAGGTAAGTGGTTTAAATTTCATGGCAGTGGCTGTCTATTGTGTATTCACACGAGTCAAATCCTAAGATGAACCTGCAGAGAAGCCTCGTCAGCACTCAGTGAAGCAAAGGTTCACCTCTTACGGATATTTATTTTATTTTAACTCGTTTCTACTGAGACATGAGTACTGTACAAACATTAAATCCATTTAAGAGAAATAAAAATGCAGCGTTAATTGTTAATTTTAATGCTGATTTTATTTCAGTCTTATTGTTGGCAATTGTTTAATAGTCTTTCTTCAGATGGGAAAGCGTTACTTATATATCAACTGTTATCACCTTTTAAATAATCAGCATCAGTCTCTGGAAAAGCTTGATTTCACAACAAATCTAAACTATTTATATAAAACCTCTATTCTAAAAAAGGTCTGGATGTCAAACACACTTTATTCACAGTGGAACATAGCAAGCAAATGTTCAAACTAAGAATTGTACATTTTTAGGGAAAAATAAGGCCATTTTGACGTTAATGGCAGCAACACATGTAAAAAAGATGGGACAGGGTCATGATTCAAATGTGAATCTTCATTTAACTACAGTCTGCAAACATCTAGGTCCAGGAACTGAGGAGTTAGTAACGTTTTGAGAGGGGATTTTTATTCCATTCTTGTCTGATGCAGGGTTCCAGTTGTTGTTTTGGGTCATCTTTGATAGGATTTTCTTGTTTCATATATAAATTGTTTTCTGCTGGTGAGAAGTTTGGACTGCAGGGAAGACAGTTCAGTTCTGATGTAATGAATGCAGTATGTAGTTCAGCACCGTCTTGTTAAAATATGCAAGACGTTCCATGAAAAAGACAAATTGAACATGGTCACGGGGTACGGAGGACACGGCATCTGTGGTTTCCAAACTGAATGTCAAAGTTTGATTCGTCTGAGCACAGAACAGTTTTCCACTTTGCTTCTATTCATTTTAAATGAGCTTTTGGTCCAAAGAAGACGCCAGCGTTTCTGAACAATGTCAATATTTAGAGCTTTAACTTGCATTTGTGGATGTCAAGGTGAACAGTGTTTACAGAAAATGACTTGTGGAACTGTTCTTGAACTCATCCAGTGATGGCCAGAACAAATTCAGACCCGAGAGTGCCTAAAGATCACAACCATGAACCTTCAGCCTTCATCCTTTGCACAGATACTCCAGAATCTTTTTTTTGTTTTGTTGATATTTTGAAATAAAGATAATGGTGTCAATGTCTTCCCATTGTTTTATTAAGGAACATTATTCTAAAATTGTTTCCCCAAGATTTTGCAGACGGGTGAACCACTTAAATTTTTCACATCTGATAGATGCAGCCTCTGTTAAATGCTCTTTTATATCCAGTCTTTTTACTGAGATAATAAAAATTACCCTGATTAGCTGCTAAATGCTCTTCCAGCTGATTCTTACATTTACAGCCTTTTGTTTCCCCAGTTCCAATGTTTTTGACATGTGTTGCTGCTGTCAAACTCAAATTTACTTTATTTTTCCCTGAAAACTGCATTTATTTAGTTTAAACATTTGATATGTGCGTTACGTTCAATTGTAATAAAATATGGGTTTGTGAGATTAGCAAATCATTGCATTTTGTTTTTAGAAAAGTTTTACTCAACAGCTTAAATTTTTTGTGCATTATGATGCAATTTTCTCATAGAAGCTGTTGACAAACATCAAGCAGCACAAAAATATATATTTTTTGAAACTGCCTTAAAATATGACGGAGCTTTAGGGCCACGCTAAGAAAAAAAAAATTAAAAGCCATAAAATTATGAGAATAAAGTCGTACGAGACTTTTTTTTTTTCAGCTTTCATTTATTTATTTATTTTTTCTACGAGTCGGCTCCACAACGTGACCTGTCAATCAATCCAGTAGGCGTGTCAGTAAATGACTAATCTGAAGCTAAATGCTCCTCACCTGCAGAGAGCTGGAGCGTACCACCTTACTGTAAGCAGGTTCAAAGTCCTGATGCTGATAATAATCTGATGCTGATGTGCTAATGGATTAACTATCTTTTTATTTGAAAAGTCAATACCAAAGTATAACTTAAAAAAAAAAAAAAAAACTTTATTTTACCAGGAAAAAATCTATTGAGATTATTAATCTCTTTTACACGGATAACCTGGACAAACATAACAAGATGCTCAACATTTTCCATTTTACCACAGTTAAAATGCAGTAAACCTGCTTTATCGTGTCGGAGTTCGGATAATATTACGACTCAATTAGCTTCAGATTGGTCATTTGCTGACACGCCTACTGGATTGATTGACAGGTTGCGTTGTGGATTCAACTCGTGGAAAAAAATAAATAAATAAAGGAGAGCTGTAAAAAAAAAAAAAGTCTCGTATGACTTTATGCTCGTAATTTTATGGCTTTTAATTTTTTTTCTTAGCGTGGCCCTAAAGCTCCGTTGTATTATAAAAACAAACTCCTAACATGGTCAATTTCCAGTTTATTTGGGAGAACTAATACATTTGAATCAAAATTTAAAAAAAGATATGTAGTTTTCCAGATGCAAGGCAGCAACACAAAGGTCTCTGATTTTGTGAAAATGTAATTTTCAAATTCCGGGTTCTTTATTGTCATGTAGAACATAAGGTGGGACAAAATTGTTTACACAGGGTCCCAGTTACATCCAACAACAGGAAGAATACAAATCGTAAAAGAAACAGTAACAAGAGTTTAAGATATAAATTAACAAATGCGCTAAACTAAGAATACAAAAAAAAGCACTGAACTACAGCAGCACGAACGAGTCTGT